CTATACACATCTCACAACCAGTTAGTCCAAAATTAAATCCTATACAAAGAGAAAAATCAAAGAAAAACACATGGGTTGCCTCCCAAGAAACGTCTGATTTAATGTTGCGGTATGAGGCAGGTTACCATCAATCACTTGAGATGGATCATCGTCATCACGTGGCTGTAATCAAATTTGCCAAGATATTGCTTGACTCTGTGCCCATTAACTCTGAAGATCTCACCGTTTTTGTTTTTCAAATCAAGAGCACCAAATGGAGTCACAAGCACCACCTCAAAAAGTCCACTCCATTTTGATTTAAGCTTTCCCGGAAAGAGTCGTAACCGGGAATTGAACAAGAGAATCAAATCACCTACTTTGAACTCCTTGCCACGAGCATATTTATCATGTAAGTACTTCATCTTGTCCTTATACAAGGACGAGCTGGAATAGGCATGGAACCGGAACTCATCAAGCTCATTAAGTTGCTCCACCCGAAGATTTGCTGCAACATCCCATTCAAGATTTAACTTCCTCAAAGCCCACATGGCTTTGTGCTCTAACTCAACCGATAGATGGCAAGCTTTCCCAAATATCAACCGGTACGGAGACATACCAATCAGAGTCTTGTGAGCAGTCTTGTAAGCCCATAAAGCATTATCCAATTCTTGGACCAGTCGGTTCTATTTGCATTGACGGTATTCGACAATATGCTCTTAATCTCCATGTTGGAGACCTCAACTTGCCCACTAGCTTGAGGATGGTAAGGGTAGAAACTTTGTGATTGACACCATACTTTGCAAGCAAAGTGTCAAATGCCTTATTGCAAAAATGAGACCCTCCATCACTAATGATTGATCTAGGAGTGCCAAACCGAGTAAAGAAACTCTTCTTGAGAAAACCCACAGCACTCCGAGAATTGTTGTTGGGTAAAGCCACGGCCTCAACCCACTTTGAAACATAATCAACGGTCACAAGAATGTACGTGTTGCCACAAGAGCTTACAAATGGGCCCATGAAATCAATACCCCGCACATCAAATATGTCAACCTCAAGAATGGTGGTGAGAGGCATCTCATCCTTCTTTCAAATTCCCCGGCTCTCTAGCACTCATCACATCTCTTCACTAGATCACCCGCATCCTTGTACAATGTAGGCCAATAGAATCCACAGCTAAGCATCTTTAAAGTTGTCCTTGCCCCACCAGGAGAGGAATGAAAAGTATCGAGAATACTTAGTTGCTCCTCTTCCGGAACACATCTTCGGATCACACCATCATTGCAAATTTCGAACAAACACGGCTCATCCTAATAGTAGTCCAAGCTATCCTATTTGATCCTAAGAGAAAATTCATCAAACTAGGTCTTTTTCCTTTTTTTTGGTTATCTTAAGAGAAAGATTCATCAGACTAAGATTTCTATCCTAGGAGAAAATTCATCAGACTAGGTTTTCTATCTTAGGAGAAAAAATCATAAAACTAAAATTTTTATCCTAGAAGAAAGTTCATCAGACTAGGTCTTCTATCTTAGGAGAAAGATTCATCAGACTAAGATTTCTATCCTAGGAGAAAATTCATCAGACTAGGTTTTCTATCTTAGGAGAAAAAATCATAAAACTAAAATTTTTATCCTAGAAGAAAGTTCATCAGACTAGGTCTTCTATCTTAGGAGAAAGATTCATCAGACTAAGATTTTTATTGGGAGTAAAATCCATCAAACTAGGACTTTTTATCCTATGAGAAAAAAATGTGAAGATCAATGGCAAGATTTTATGCACAATAGCAACACAAATAAAGGCAAAGATTTGAGAAACTTCCCTTTGTCGGCTCTTCTCTTCTTTTTCTTTTTTTTCTTTATAATTTTTTTTGAACCACTATCCTTGCCCTGCTTTATACCTGTTTCAAATAAAGAAAATTTTCTTAGTTTTGAAAGTGGTGGTCAGTTTGTGTCCATGAGTCTTGGGTGAAAGTACAAGACTGGGAGGGGTGAATTGTGGTTTGTTAAAAAACTTAGTCGACTAACGATGATTTTAGTTGACTAGATCGAGAGCAGAAGTGAAATAACTGTAAGCAAAAAGAAAATGACACACAACAATTTCATATTGGTTCGGTACTGGTATAGTACTTACATCCAGTTTTCCTTAGGTCAGAAGGGTTCCTATTAGATCTTAAAAGTATTACAAAAGGGATGGTTTTGATTCATTCACCACCAATGAAGTACAGCAATAGTGAATCTTTAATAATGACACAACTCTCTTTTGTATTCTAACTCTCCCTATCTTTTGAGACACTGATAAACTTCAGAATACAGTGTTTAGGCTAAGAAGTAGAAAGACTTAGAAAACAATGTGTGTAATTGCGCAAGTCTTCCAATTGAACTAAGAAGCCTTCTTATAGGAGAGGAAAAGAGTCGTTGAGTCTTGCCCAGAAATAGAGGCACAAGATCTTTTAAAAGGATTTGACCCAAGGGGTGCCTTTTCGAATCCTGCTCTTTGGAAAGACCGGATTCGTGACTTTCCTTGTCACAACTTTCATTTTCAAGACAATTAATCCTTTGACTGAGCTTTAATTAAGGAAGCTGAATAAGGTAATAACTCTTTCATTGGTAAACTGATTCCCTTGATTGAGGTCGAGATTATTAGCAGGCTTTTTGTTCCTTTTGTAGATCCATTGATTTAGAAATCACTCCGCATTGCTTTTCTTTCCTTTTGATGATTCCTGCGAAATAGATTAATTGAACATTGTCATCTTTGAAACCTTGAAATTTTAACTTAACTATCTCCCCATTTTTTATGATGACAATCAAGAGAGAATAAACATTAATAAAGACTATAAACATTAAATATGAAATATCCCTTTCTTGACTTGATGTTTGCTTTCCCTGAGAGGTTGCTCCCTCTAACTTGATGCTTGCTCCCCCTGAGAAGTTGAATTGCTGCTCAAACATGTTTATCCTATTTACTTCTCTTGCTTGTTTTGCCCTTTTGACATCAATTAAAAAGGGAAAGAAAACATTACAAGCAAGAATAACATAGGAAGTAATGTACATAACAACTAGCTAGTTAGTGTAGCAAACGTAATGTCTTCAACAGAGGCATAGGTTATACAGACCTAGGCAAAAGAAAGTTCATAAAAACCACCAGCAAGCAAAAATAAAAACAAAAAAAATTATCTTTGAACCCATCACACGAATACACATTAGTGTCTTCCCAGAAAGTACTTGAGAGTGTTGATCATTTTGGTGCAGAAGGAGTCATAGGAATTCTCTACATCTTTGACTAGCTTATCCATTTTTTCAGTCATAGAATTGAAAGCCCTGGTTCCTTGTCTCCGCAAAGCTCCTATATCCATTCTGAGCTTAGCCACATCTGTACCTGTCTCCTTAGTGACTTCCCTGATTTTCTCCACCTGTTCCTTCATCTCAACCACAAGCTATTTTACCTCATCCAAATATTTCTACATTGGCTGAAGATTTTGAGAGGCAGTCGACTGAGATGCAGGTTGTTCAGTTTGAACTTCAACTGGCATTGGAATGCTATCAACTTTGACGCGTTTAACCCATCCATCATCACCCAAGGTATATCCCATCATTGAAAAAACTGTTTTATCATAAGTGCTGGTAATGTGCTTAGGTATAAAGGGTGCCAAATCTACCTTCATAACTTTGAGGATGTGTGAGATGAGTAGACCATACGGTAAACAAGTAGTAGAGGAGGATATGTCCCTAATACTTTCAAGCATGTATTGGAGAATCCACACAAACCAATCCAATCTTTTATTATTAACAAGACACCAAAGGACAAAGACATCCCTAGTGAATAAAGAACTAAGGGACCCAGTTCTGGGGATTAAAGTGGTAGAAATCATGTGGGACAAGACATGATGTTCAAACATAAGGTTCTTGGGGCCAATATCGGGGGGTTATCAGATAAAAAGACTTTGGCTTTTTCAAAGGATACTTCAAAATCTTTTGGCCAAGAATTTTACACAAAAACATCAAATCCACTGAACTTAGCAGAAAAAATCTTTTCAAATTGATAAGAGCCTAGAATAATTCTAGTGGCTAACACCATAGATTCTAGGTCATCTTTGTCATTCACAAAAAGGTTTGCATAAAACATCCTCACAGGTTCCTCATAGACAGAGTTACCAACGGTGTTGAACGGAGAAGAAATATGTTGAAAATCAAATATAGAGGTCACGTCACAGTGCAAATTTTTTATGAGAGAAAGACTTACAAAGCGTCCATAAGCCATAGATTTAGACTTGTAGGACTAAAACCTTGCTTTTTCACTCGGGCCATAAAAGATCAACTTGTCCTCAAGTCCAAATTCAGTGTTCTTTACCTTTTCTATCTTGCATGCATCCTTTTTGGGGGTTTGCTCCATGGGCCTTTTTCTTGCCTTTTTCTGACTGATGGGAGGATTTTCGAAGGATTCACTACTTTCATTGTTAGATTTGACAAAATCTAAGTCAATAGACGACTCCAAATCTACAGGTTCTTCAAGATTGAGGGGTTTTTGAAACCTTCGGCTTTGTCTGCTTGCAGTGGAGGAAGAGAGATTTCTTTTGGCCATGGTGAGAGGGTGTGTTTGATAAGAATAAAGAGAGTAAAGGAGATGAGAAGGGTTTTATCGATGCCTTTGGAGTAATGAAGGGTCGCTTTGGTTAAAGGAAAAGGCGGATTCAGAAGGAAGTGATGCTTCTGAAGTGACCAATCGACGACACTGATGAAGAAGCAATTATTACACCTATACAACAATTAATTAAACTACACATACTTAAGGAAATAAAATATTTTAAAACACGGCAAACAAATATTTGATTTACAAATTTGGTAAAATGCCAATCTTTTTCCTGAGAAAACAAAATATTTCTTCCAAAAGTGGTTTTGTAAAAATATCGGCAAGTTGAGAATCAGTACTAATAAATTCTAATACAATATCACCTTTACCGACATGATTACAGATTAAATAATGCTTAATTTATATATGTTTTGCCCTAGACTGATGCACAGAATTATTCATAAGCAAACAACACTAGTATTATCATAAAATATAGGAGTAGAAGTAAGAGATAAATCATAGTCGAGAAGTTGATGCATAATACAGAGAACTTGTGTACAACAGCTTCCGACTGCTAAATACTCTGCTTCAGTCGTTGATAGGGCAATACAATTTTGTTTCTTGCTATGCCAAGATACCAATGCATTTCCCAAGAGTTGACACATGCCACTAGTGTTTTTTCTATCAATCTTGTCACTTGCAAAATCTGTATCTGAAAATCCTTTCAATGCAAAATTGTTAGAATGATCATACAATTAGCCTAGATCAAAAGTACCAATCAGATATCTAATGATTCGTTTAACTGCGGTGAGATGAGATTCCTTAGGAGCCGACTGAAATCTTGCACACTTACAAACACTGAACATAATATCTGGTCGACTAGCAGTGCGATATAATAGGGATCCAATCATCCCTCTATACATGGTTTCATCAACCTTTTTTCTATTGTTGTCTTCATCGAGTATTGTTGTTGGACTCATTGGAGTGCCGATTGACTTTGCATTTTCCATTCCAAACTTTTTGATAAGCTCCTTAGTGTACTTGGATTGGCTAATGAAAATTCTTTTAGGAGACTGTTTGATTTGAAGTCTGAGAAAGACTGTCAGTTCTCCCATCATTCTCATTTGGAATTCTCCTTTCATGGAATGAGAAAAATCTTCACATAAAGCAGAGTTAGGACTTCCAAAAATAATGTCATCAACATAAATTTGAGTATAGATTATCTAAACTAGAGCTCTTAATAAAAAGGGTTGTATCGATATTATCTCTTTTGAACCTTTAATTTAGGAGAAAAGAACTTAACATTTCATATCAGGCAAGCGGAGCTTGTTTAAGACTATACAAAGCTTTAGTCAGCTTGTATACATGATTAGGAAAGGTGACGATTGCAAATTCTGGTGGTTGCTTTACATATACTTCTTCAGAGATGTAGCCATTTAGGAACGTACTTTTAATGTCCATTTGAAACAGCATGAAGCCTTTGTGAGCAGCAAAAGCAAGTAATATTCGAATGGATCCAAGTCTTGCTACATGGGCAAAGGTTTCGTCACAGTCGATTCCTTCTTGCTGGGAGTAGCCTTGAGCAACTAATCTTGCTTTATTTCGAACCACTTGACCAGATTCATTCAATTTGTTTCTGAATACCCATTTAGTTCCAATGATTGATGAGTTTGTAGGTCTTCGAACCAATTCTCATACTTTGTTTCTTTCAAATTGATCTAGTTCCTCTTTCATAGCACTTTTCCAGTGTGCATCCTTCAAAGCTTCATCCACTTTCTTTGGCTCAAGTTGAGAAATAAGAGCCACATGAGATTTATTCTTCTGATATCTTCTTGTAGTGATTCCTTCCTATGGATCTCCTATAATAAATTTGTGAGGATAGTCAGGTTCGCTCTTCCATTCATTTGGAGTATTTGAATGAGGATCTATTTCTATATTAGTCGACTGATCTGATTGAGATGGTTCGTGGATTTCTACAAACTCTTCAGCAGGTTGAGTTTGTTGATCAACCGACTCACTTTGATGATACTTTCCTGCAATGACAGTTTTAGGGACAAAGGAATTTCCTCATCTTCAGGAAGTTTTTCATTCCTTGGTCGAGGGTTAGTATCAACAAAAACAACATGAATTTATTCTTCAATGCAGAGAGTTGTTTTATTATAAACTCTATATGCTCTACTTGAAGGAGTGTAACCAAGAAATATACCTTCATCACTTTTAGGATTGAATTTACCCGAATTATCCTTTCCATTGTTATGAATGAAGCATTTACATCCAAAGGGGTGAAAGTAGCTAATATTAGGTTTCTTACCATTCGACAGTTCATATGGCATCTTTTTGAGAATTGGTCAAATCAGACACCTATTGATAATATGACATGATGTGCTTAGCGCTTCTGCCCAGAAATGATGAGGTAGAGAATTTTCCAAAATCAAGGTTCTTGCCATGTACTGTGGGGTTCTTTTTCTTTGTTCTACTACTCCATTTTGTTCTAGAGATCTTGGTGAACAGAAATTGTGAGAGATTCCTTAATCATTGCAAAAGTTTTCAAAAGCTCTACTTTCAAATTCTCCTCCATGACCACTTCTGATAGAAGAGATGTAGTAACCCTTTTCTCATTGAACCTTCTTACAGAAAATTTCAAAATTCTTTAGAGCATCATCTTTATGACTTAAAAGCATAACCTAGGTAAATCTAGAAAAATCATCCATAACAACAAAAGCATATTTTCTACCACCTAAGCTAGCAGTTCTAGTTGGACCAAATAGATCCATATGCAATAGTTGAAGAGGTTTGGAGGTGGAAACAAAATTCTTGATATTGAAAGATGAGAGAGTTTGTTTTCCTAATTGACATGCATCACAAATATGATCCTTTGAAAAATCTAGTTTTGGAAGACCAATGATGAGATCAAGTTTGGAAAGCTTTTCAATAGTATGCATGCTAGCATGACCAAGTTTTCTACGCCAGACCCAGGGATCATCAACTGTAGAAGCAAGACAGATTTGATCCCCAAGATTATCTAGGTTGCTAATAGTATAAACATTTCTATCTCTATTACCTGAAAGAATGACTTTACCTTATTCATCTTCTATGAACCAACCATGTTTCTTAAAATGAACCTCATAGTCATTGTCACATAGTTGACTAATGCTGAGAAGATTGTAGTTGAGTTCATCAACCAGGTAAACTTCATCTGCATCACATGTTGGGGTTAGAGGAACGTTTTCAACACCAATTATGTTTCCTTTGGATTTGTCTCCAAATGTGACTGCTCCACCATCTAGTTTAGTGACTGTCTTAAACAATTATTTGTCACCAGTCATATGTCTAGAACACGCGCTATCGATATACCATTTTGCTTTTCGATTCTTCTTGCGGTGTTCCTGCTAAACAAAATTACTTATTTTTAGTACCCAAGCTTGCTTGGATCCTGAAAGATTAGAAAGCTGAGTGTTAGTTTGGTTTGAAGATTTTGGTCTCCAGACCCATCTTCTATTGTTCTTAAACCTGCAGCGATTTGAGGTGTGGCTCTTTTTCCCATAATAAAAACAAGATGGACTATTTTCAGAATCTTTTTCTGCTCTGATTTTATTCCTGCATTGGTTAGTATTGTGCATATTCTTACCACAAAAGGAACACCCATGAGATTTTTTCTATTTGTGATGAACAGTCTGATTTGATCTGACTGAACTATGACTAGTGGATTTTTGCATTCCACTCAATTTAAGTTGAAGTTCATTTACTTCTTCCTATAGCAAATCACGTTCAATTTCACAAACCTCTAACTTCAGAGCCCATTCTTTCTTTTCTCTCTGAATATTTCTGAGTTCATTTAGAACTCTTTCAATATCTTCAAGAGCAATATCAATGAATTCTTGGAGTTCATAACAATTAGGGCAATATATGGACATATCTCACTAGTTCCCTTGTCTCCCATGAGACCAAATTGATCTGAGTCTTCTTCTTCATTTATTACTCTATAACCTAAGAACCCATGCTCTCCTGATTCTTCATTGCTATCATCTTCTATGGACATGAAGCACATATTTGTAATTTCTTTATGATCAGATTCTTCTTCATCACTCTAAGCTCTAAATGACTTCTTCCTTTGAAGATTCCTGCTCTGCTTCTTCTTTAAGTCTGGACAGTCAGCTTGAATGTGTCCATGTTTACTACATTCATAGCATCTTCCATCATTTTCATTGTTTATCCTTCCCTCTCTGAACTTTGGTTTACCTTTTCTGTTGTTTTTATTTTTTCTCATCATGCTAGTTACAACTTGAGAAAGCATGGCAATGTTTTCATCCTGTTCTCCTCCTTCATTTTCTTCTTCATCCTCTGGTTCAGCCACAGTTGCTTTGAAGGAGACTTTTTTCTTCTTTTCTTGTTGGATTTTTCTATCCAAGTGAGTTTTCTCAAACGCTATTAGATCACCTCTGAGTTTATCATAGGAAATTTTGTCAAGATCCTGACATTCGAGTGCAATGAATTTTGGCTGCCAAATCATAGGTAGACTTCTGAGAATTTTTCTAATTTGTTCTCCGCTTTTTATTGTTATACCAAAGTATTTCAGATCTCCAAGAATTTTGTTGAACCTGAAGAACATTTCTTCAGCAGATTCTCCATCCTTCATTTGAAATAGCTCGTACTCACGAACCAATAGATTTATCCTTGTTTCTTTTACCTTGTTTGTCCCTTTATATGTAACTTCCAATCTATCCCACATCTCCTTAGTAGTTTCACAACTTGAGATTTTTTTCATATTCTTCACCGCTGATAGCATTGTATAACAGATGTTTTTGATGGGTTTTCAATGTCTTTGCCTTATGCTTCTAATATTTTGATGATATAACAAACTTATTGTTAAGAACCAGATAAAGAACCTAACCCACATGGTATACACTTCAAATGAATAATGTCTAGTCTGATCTCCAGCAAATGAATGAACAACCACAGGGAGGAACACAATAGGGACCTGGTGACCTAGTCCCTTAGGGTTCTCCGACAGAAGTACAAGTCAGTGACTGTCGGCAACTATTACAAAGAGGAACACAACAGGGACATGGTCCCTTAGAGTTCTCTGACAGAAGTACAAGTCAACTGTACAGCTGGAACGTAATAGCAAAAAGTGACTATCTCGCCACTGTTACAAAAGACGAACACTACTGGGATATGGTCCCTTAGTGTTCTCTGATAAAAGTACAAGTCAACTTTACAGATGGTATACAACTGTACAAAAGTGATTGTGCAGCAGACAATGCAGCAGTCACTTCTCATTGGGAAGAAGCGTGTACCAAGAATTGATATCACCATCCATTGTGATGACTTTTATATTATAACAACCCGGTGCAAGGCACAAGAAATTCACTTGTGCATTCAGTGATATTCTCTCAAGCATAACAGTGTTCATCTGGCATTGAAGTCACTGGTATGTCAAGAACAAGAAGACAACTCCACTAAGGATCAGTTTCATAATGAGTTTATGTATATCCAAAATTGAGTTGTAATCTTGTTATTTGTTCTTCATTTTATCTCCTGTCTTACTTTCTTAGAAGCTTTGTCTTAGGAGAACCAAAAATCCGTAAACTTCCGAGTTTATGTTGAGACTAGGTTTAGTCATAAGTTTAAATTTTTTGTAACTAGAAGAGTCACAAAGTGGCTTGTGGTGAGAGCATCATAAGTTAGTTGAAGTCTTTGTAATAGAGTTATTATAAAGTGGCTTGTAATAGTGAGATTGCAAGTTAGTGAAGTTAAAAGACTACAAGTGTAGGTCGTGGTTTCTTGATCCCCTTGTGTGGTATTTTTCCACGTAAAAATCCTTTGTCTTCTTTACTTACAGTTTTATTAGCATTCTCAGCTTAACCTCATAGAGGACCAGAAACTCTACTATTTGGTGGACTCATATAAACTAACAATCGGTATTAGAGAGGGTTCTTTCTAAAAGGCTAACACCTAGAAAGGATCTCAATGGCTGTTCCACCCAACTTTGAGGAAGGAAAATCAACCTAGAGTCCTCCTAGATTCAATGGTCAATACTACGGCTAGGGGAAGACACGTATGCAAGATTTTATAATGGCTGAAGATTCAAAAATATGGGATATTATCTATGATGGTCCACATGTTCCTATGAAGAAGGTTGAAGAAACTTGACCAATGGGGCCGAAAGACAGAAAAGAGTACAGTGACATTGACAGAAAAGCCATAGAAAAGAACTATCGTGCTAAGAAAATCTTGGTATGTGGCATAGGACCCGATGAGTACAACAGAGTGTCAGCTTGTGATACTGCAAAAAAAATATGGGAAACATTGCAAACCGCACACGAAGGAACTACTCAGGTCAAACAGTCCAAGATTGACATGCTCACCACAGAGTATGAGCTCTTTAGGATGAAGGATGATGAGTCTATACAGGATATGCACATCAGATTCACCTCCATCATAAATGAGCTTCATTCACTTGGAGATGTTATTCCCAGAAACAAGCTTGTAAGGAAAATCCTCAGTGTTCTACCTGGCTCTTGGGAAAGTAAGGTAAATGCCATCATTGAAGCTAAAGATCTACAAACTCTAACCATGGATGAGTTGATTGGCAATGTGAAGACATACAAGATGAAAAGAAAGAAAGACAGTAAAAGGAGAGAGCCGAAGAAGGAAAAGAACCTGGTACTTAAGGCTGAAAGCAGTGACTCAAGTGATGAAGATAGTGATATGGCCTATCTTACTAAAAGATTTCAAAAGATGGTTCAAAGAAATGGTGGTATACCAAAGAGGGACAGTTCAAGTAAGGCAAGGAATAATGATCTCTGTCACAGGTGCGGAAAGCCAGGTCATTTCATCAAATACTATCCACTCGCAAAATAGGAGCAATACAAATAAAATTCTGACAAAGCAACAAAAAGGAACCTGGTTCCAGACAAATGATTCAATCGAAAAAGTGCAGCTAACAACATTGTGAAGCAGGCTCTTTCTGCTTGGGGAGACTACTCTAGTGAATTAGAAAGGGAACCAGATGCAGAAAACAGTTCCATGATGGTAGTGAAAATTGGAGCAACGAAGTATGACTCACTGTTCGAGCTGATGGCTCAGTCTGATAAGGATGAAGAAGATAAAGATGATGAGGTAAACTTTAGAGATGTTCAGAGAAATCTGAAACCCTACTCTTATAAGAAGCTAAGGTCATTAGCAAATGTTCTAATTGATGCTTATTATATTCTTGATAATGATAAGGAGATCCTGACCATAGAACTAGGAGAAGCTGAACAATCTAAAGATGATCCGGTGGTCTGTGTAGTGGACCTAAATGAGACCATAGCTAATCTCGAAAAAGAAAAAGAAGCTCTAAATGAAAAAATAACTAGTGTAGAAAATGAGAGAGATGACCTGATGGTAGTGGTCGTTGACTTGAAGGAAACAATAGAAGGCCTCAATAATGAGAAACACACTCTAGAAGAAAAAAAATCCATCCTTTTTATCATAACAAGGGACCCAAACTAGTTTGGGTTCCTAAATCTAACCCATAATTTGCATGAGCAAGGAATAGTGAGAGGAAGTGGACTGCAATGAACCATGGAAAATGGATGCTCAAAGCACGTGACTGGAAGCACCATAGATTTCTTCTCACTGAAAGCCCTGCAGGAAGGGAATGTACCCCTTGAAAAAGGAAACGGTACATTCTCAGTGCTAGAAAAGTTGGAAAATCTCCTTGTCACTCAAAATTGAGAACGTGTACTATGTGGATGGCCTGAAGTACAGTCTCCTGAGTGTCTCTTAAATCTATGATAAAGGGAATAAAGTAGAGTTCTTATCAAAAGTGTGCACAAGTACCAATCTGGTAATTGGGAAAGTGGTCTTAGCTGCCAAAAGAAACAAGAACATCTACGTTGCTGACTTTGAAATTTTACAAGCTGGGGATATGAGATGCTTGAAGTTAGTTGATAATGATGCAGAACTTTGGCATGGAAGATCCGGGCAAGCAAGCCTCTCACTTCTGAATAAATTGATTCAGAAGGACCTGGTTCGTGGTTTGTCAAATTCAAGATTCACCTAGACACTGGTTCTTAGAACAAAGGATGAGACTTTCGAGGTGTTTTAGGGCCTTTGTCAAGAAGAGCCAAGTGAAGATAAAATTGAAGGCAGTATGCATCAGATCTGAACACGGGACTGAATGTGACAACGCCGAATTTGATGAGCTTGTAACAAAAATGGAATCACACACAACTTCTCAGCACCAAGGACACTACAGCAAAATGGTATTACTAAAAGAAAGAACATAACTCTGGAAGACATAGCATGGACAATGCTCATCGACAGTGGAATCGCCAAGAAAATTCTGGGCAAAAGAAATAAAATTTGCTTGCGACTTGGTGAACATGTGTATGATCAGGTCCCTCCTGAACAAAACCCACTATGAGCTGCCAAATGGAAGAGAACCAAGGACAACTTATTTGAGAGTCTTTTTAAATGAAAATGCCATGGTTTAAATAACAAGAAGGACCAGCTTGGGAAGTTTGATGCAAAAGGCGATGAAGTAATCCTTCTGGGATACTCCCCACAATGCAAAAGCCACAAAGTCTACAACAAAAGAGCACACTGGTGGAAAGAAGGGTTCATGTGCTATTCAACGAGACACCTTCTTCTAACAAAGGAGGAAATAGTTATGATCAATATAATGAACATGTCTGGCACCTGGTAAATATTATCTAAGGTTTCAAATGGGAAGGCTGATATGATGAGTACGATGAAGGAAACAGGTGAAAGACAATGCAACATTCTCTTCCACTTCTCATAAGGAACCTGGTATTTCAATTACTACCATTGAAACTAAAGAAAGAGTGGAGATGCAGTGCAAGGTACTCCACAAGTAACAGAACAAGGAGTAGGGAAATCCAATTAACCTACCAAGTTTCTCTAC